GAGCAGAAAGCCTGATGCAGGGCTCGATCCCAGGACCCTGGGATCATGACCTGAGCCGAAGGCAGACGCTTAACGACTGAGCCACCCAGGTGCCCCTCCATGAATATTTTTAATTGACTGACACTCTAAAAAAGTAAAAGATGCGCTCACTGCTCTTAGGAAGTTCACAACCTAGTTTTAAAGCAATTACATTTTATTTGCATACCTTTTGTGGTAAAATATACATCACCTAAAATTTCCACTTGAACCATTTTTCAAATGTACCATTTAGTGGCATCACCATCCACCTCCAGAACTTTCTTATCAACCCAAATTGAAAATCTGTGTCCATTAAACAATAATTCCCCATTTCCCTCTCCCACCCCACCCCTGGCAACCACTTTTCTGCTTTCTATGAGTTTGGTAAACTCTGGGTACCTGATACAAGGAGAATCATACAATATTTGTCCTTTTGTGTCTGGTTTATTTTAGCCTAAGTTCTTCAAAGCTCATCCATGTTGTAGAATGTGTCAGAATTTCCTTCCTTTTTAAGGCTGAATAATATTCCATTGGATGTGTATGCCACATTTTGTGTATCCATTCATCCATCACTGGACGTTCTGGTTGTTTCCACCTTTGGGCTATCGTGAACAATGCTGCTAGGAACGTGGGTGTGCAAATCTGTTTGAGGCCCAGCTTGCAATTTTTCTGGGGATGTACCCTCAAATGGAATTATTGGATCATATGGTAAGTCTATGCTTCATTTTTTTTTTTATGTCTAATTATTTGAGGAACCACCATACTGTGTTCTTAACAACCTAGTGTTAACAAACACTATTGTTTTAGGGCCCCCATGCTAAGCCCTTTACACACTTTCTCTGAAACCAGCACTGCAAGGAAGTGTTATTACGCTCACTTTTCAACCGATGAGTTCATTTGCTCGGTATCACACAACTAGTTGGAAGACACAGTCAACACAGGTGGATCGCTTAGCAAGGCAAAAGGCTACAAATCCAGTTCAATAAAACACAAATTCAGTGCAAGAAACTGGAGGCCACGGAGTGTGGTTGTCTGTGGAAAGTTTCCTACAAGTAAGCGGTGAACCAAAATTTTGAGGATGGTCCATGCTCAGGCATCCGGTGGAAAGCTAGGAAAACATGTGGCTGCAGAACAGGAGGGCACAGACTTGCTTTGAACCCTGAGGGTCTGTGTGTGATTCTCTTATTTGCGCTTGCCAGGGCCTCTGTACAGCATCTCTATCCAGAGAGACTTTTAAGAACTCTCAGCTGAGCGGCTTGTCCTAGAGCCTTAACTCCGAGCTGTCTCTTGCTCCGGGTTCCCTCAGAACTGGCCGCCTCCGCGTTACTCAGTAATTACATTGGAGAGGTCAGCTAGAATGGGCTGTGTGTTGCCTCTAAAATCCGAAATGACACCGTAGGGGAGCATCATTTGCCACCCCAAAATATGTCTCTTTGGCATAAGGATCCTGATAGGCAGATTACTTTCAAGGAACTGCCAAGTGAAGCTCAGAAAAAACAGTAGATGGTACCCTTTTGTTAGAGAGGTTTACAGGTGCAAGGGAAATCTCCATTCGCAAGCGTGTCTCTCTGGCGGTATCAGGAAGAGGGGAATGACTCTAAATCTCTAGAAATTCATCAATGGAGAAGGCCATGACTTAGATCTGCATAGCCACCTTACCCTTGTTGACTGTGCTTTTTCAGATCAGCTCCCGTAACTGACTCCCCATGCCCAACATCTTTTGTTTTTTGTTGGAGATGGTATTTAAGGGGACGGCTTCTGCCATTTTGGGGAGTTACTCAGTTTTCCTGGGTGTCTCTCGTGTATACGGGAGGTGTGCAAGTTATTAAATTTCTGTTTGTTTTTCTCCTGTTACTCCATCTTGTACTACAAGGGGGTCTCAGCCAAGAGCCTAGAAGGAAAGAAGGGAACATTATGCCACTGTTTCAACAGGAAACACTGTGCCTTTTTCTTGATGGTAAGTGGTACGAGGTGTTCCAACTCATGTTTCACTTTGGAGGTGGCATCCCCCTGGCTCCCTAGAAACTTCCTCCAGGTGGTGGAAATTTCTGTAGTTGAATAGTGAATCCAGTTTTGAAGTAGCGATCAGAAAGGCAAATGAAGGGGGCTCAATTGTTAAGCGTCTGCCTTCGGCTCAGGTCATGATCCCAGGGTCCTGGGACCGAGCCCCGCGTCAGGCTCCCTGCTCCACGGGAAGCCTGCTTCTCCCTCTCCCACCCCCCCTGCTTGTGTTCCTTCTCTCGCTGTCTCTCTCTCTCTCTGTTGAAAAATAAATAAAATCTTAAAAAAAAAAAAAAGGCAAATGAAGGAAGAGAATGGCATTCGAGGCAGAACAAGGGCAGAGACGCCGTGACACAGACAAGCCGGTTACAAATGATTTACCAAGTCGATGTATGAAGAGAGAACAAGGATGGTTCACTTGGAGGGCTCATGGGACTCAGGATATAGTTGCACTCGTGGCTGAGATTTATCACGGTGAAGGGACACAAAGCCCAATCAGCATAGGGAAAAGGTGTATGGGGCCAAGTCCAAGAGATACCAGGCGTAAGCTTCCAACACTCTTTTTCCCGGGGAGTCACACAGGACGTGCTTAACTCTCCCCAGCAATGTGTAGTGATGACATGTGTGAAATGGTGTCTACTGGGGAATCCCATTAGAGATTGGGCACTTAGGGGGGCTGCTCATGTGGGCACACTTTGCCGGGCATGTACCCACATTCCTGTCTCCCAGAAAGAAAGCAGGAGTTCGGCACGAACCCCACTGTTTACATAAAGCATGTAGGCACAGTGAGCCACTCTCATCAGGTAGGGAATGGTGGGAACCCTCCCCAAATCCCGATTCCCAGGCACCAGTCAAGGGCCAACCTGGGCAGCAGGCCTTTCTAAGGAGAAGCAGTCAGGCCTGCCGTGTTAACCCCTTTTTGCACAGCATGAATCCCACAGAACGGCTTGGATAGGTCCACGAGGGAGATCCACGAGGGAGATGCACGAGGTGTTCGTCACAGTGCCATTTGTGGGGACAGGGACGCCCAGGCATCCTGGGCGTTTGTCACAGGGACAGGGTTTGTGGTTCAGGATGGTGGAGGCGTACCCTGGCATATCACGCAGCAATTAGAAGCAATGGATTATATGTACACATAGTGACAGGAACGGATCTGAAAAACTTAATCTTTTTTTTTTTTTTAAAGATTTTACTTATTTATTTTTTAGAGAGCGAGCGAGAGAGAAACAGCATGAGAGAGGAGAGGGTCAGGGGGAGAAGCAGGCTCCCCGCTGAGCCGGGAGCCCGATGTGGAACTCGATCCCAGGACC